TGTACGTACCTGTGTATAAGGTTGGTCAGGGGCTCAATCAACTTCTTTCCCAGCCTAGGTTCTAATGGAGTAAGAGCACCAAACTATTCAAAAAGCGTGGACAAGAAACCAATTTAATAACCGGTTTTAAGCAGCGTAAAAACAGCACTTAAACTGCAATTCACTAGATTTTACAAAGCTATATTAAACTATTTTTTCCTTCTGTTTGCAAACACTAGGGGAGATTACTAGTTTCTTTTTCTTTTAATGATAAGAATACCTCCAAGCAGGAGATCTATTTCCACACCCAAAAGCAGGTAATGAGAATCCCAAGCCTGCACAGGGAGATCTACAACACTCACCAATTTTATAATTTTAATGAGAACCCAATTGTTGGTTGACGACGTCATCAGCTTGAAGAACAGCGGAGCCAGGGAAAGGTAGTTCTTGGGATTGCGTCTGGCCAGTTCACAAATAACATTTACTGCAGCAGACTGCACACCTGAGGAACAGAAGAGGGAAAAGCAGGAATCTCATCATGGGCTTAATGGCAACTGAAGCTTCTGGTGCAGAATACACCAGACAAAAGCGGGGAAAGATTCTGATTCTGAATCTTTTGGGCCGTACCTTAAGAGAGGCAACTTGTTTGCAGAATGCTGGCATTATAATTAATAGCCCTACCCACCATGCGTGAGGTTTCAAGACATTTGTTTCTTTAAAAGAAGTATTTTGCTTTTTTTTTTTTTTTTTTTTTTTTTTTTAGTTAAAACAGCTACAAGAAAGGGAAAGTCTCATTTAATAACCTCATGGAGCATACTCATTTCTTTTCAGCCTCAAAATCCTTTTTCTCCTCATTTAGGAGTCTTTTATTCTTGTAGAAAAGACTCCTTTCATAAAACATTTTCATAAAGCGTCTCTAATAAGTCTATTTCCTCCTTCCGTGTTTTTTTTTAAATAATTCCTGAAAGATGGCTCTTACGCACTCCTATCAAATTAGTCCGACATGCGTATTTAAACTCCTCTCTAGACACACATATACAAGCATATTCAAATAAGTTCAAAACCTAGGAATGATACTGTTTTAATAACATTAAATATGAAACAAGAAATGGATGCTTCAAAGAAGGCATTATTGATATGGCAAATTCAACTCACCCTCCTACTAAAACGATGAACCAGCACACCAAAGATGACTATAGAATTTTTACATGTTCTCTCCACCAACTCCTATATCTAGATAGGATAGTCTGCTTGAGCAGACTGTATTAGAATCCACTCACCAGGGTCTGGATCTTCAAGCTTCTCCTTAAGGCGAGGAAATGCAGGACGGAGGGACTCCGGGTACTTCAGAAAGACTTTGTACATGATTAACACTGCTTTCTTCCTTATATAAGGCTTTGTATGCGACATCTGTTAATGAAACACCAGAGATCAGCCTCTAACAAATGTACATGTCCAGAACTCACCTCGGGGTCCGTGTCTCAACACCATCTTTCAAAATTGTTCTCTAAGGATTTTGGCTCTTTTTAAAGAGCTCGGCTTTTGAAGCGAGAGAAAAGCACTGTCATTTCTCACTCCAACTAATCAATCTATACAAACTCCTCCCTTTCAGCTAACTAGCATCCGTGTAGGCTCTCCAAAAACCTCACAAAAATATCAAAGTGTCAGTTCCTACTTGCAGTTCAAAGATTAACAGATATTTACCAGATTCAAACAATTTAAACATTCTTTACACACCTACTTCTGGCACAAATTCAGTCTTTCTCATCAACTCACCAGTGTCATGATGTCATTTGCCAAGTCCCTGGCAAGATCTGGAGTAACAAAACAGGACAAGCCAGTCAGTGCAACTCCAGTATCATATTGGTTAGGACTACTCAGATCCTAGAAAAGGAAAAAAAGGCTCAAAAATTTAAGATTACACAGGATGTAGAGAAACAGCTTTCTCAGACCAGTTTTATTCATTCATTATGAAGAAGACTTCCTATTCCATGGGAGTAATTGTGCAGCTACTGAGGAATGCCATCCAATCCCCACTGAGATACACTTAGCACAGGGTTTTAACAAAGGGTATGAAGTATAATTTAACAAGGAATGGAAGACATATCAGACAATACACCCCAGACACAATCAAAAATCTGCCTAAAATATCAGAAATTAAATCCAAAAAATCTAAAACTATACAGTATCAAATCAAAATTGCTCTCCCTTCCCTGTAATCTCATTGTGCTTAATAGTGCCCACCTTAACATCCCTACTACAGAAGTGAAGTTGTCAGTAAATTAGAAGGAAAGGCAACTCACAACTTTCAATTCAGAAAGACCAAACACATGCCAGTGTGCCTGAGTTCCTATACCATATTTTCTTTCAAACTGTTAAATAAATTAATATTCTTATCTGAATATACCAGAGTATGAATTATAAAACCAGAGCTCAAAAGGCGCACAGCATTGCAGAATCAATCCCTAATTGTAGAACATGGATGAACATTACTAGAAATATGTATTTATCAGAGCTGAATAGTTTAAAAGATAATGAAGAGCACTAACCAGATACCAGACAACATCCCTTTTTAAAAAAACATTATTTAATAAAAGCTATTTTCAGCTTTTTGGACTACGAAGCAAGGAAACAGAATTCTACTTTGACCTGTGCTCCCCCTGCAATTACAGAGATTTGAAACAACAGGTAAGGAGACAACGTAAGAAAAAAACCTTGCGAACCCAAGACAAAAAGTTACCTTTCGGATTTGATTAGTTGTTAGCATAATTACGTCGGTCCCTTCATGAAAACACTGAGAGGCGGCCAGGTAACCAATTCTCTGTAAACGAGATAGCAGGAGAAAGACAGTTATTTATAAGGTCAGATAGAGCTCAAATGAAAAACTGTTAGCCTCATGGGCTAACTGCAATATTAAAAAGTTACTGCAGTTTTAATTGCACAGAGAACTTACTTTGAATGTAAACTTTGATGCACTCATGACTTCAATAATATTGAAAGCTGCCCAACTGATGTCGTAGCCCAACATCTGCAACTGTTAACAGAGAAGCCAAGGTAATGAAGTTGTAAAACAAGATACTGGAGAAAACAGTCAGATACCTGGTTCCATCTTCAATTTAAGGTAAGAGTCCAAAAAACAATACTGTAAATTATCTCAAGTTTGTGGCTAACGCTACGCTCTACGTCACGCTGTAGAAGTAGAAAAACTGCACCAGAAGCAAGTTCTACAATTTTTTCCCTTTCAGAGAGAAGGAAAAAAAAAAAAAGCAAACCCAAACACCCTTTCCTCAGCACTATTTTCCTCCCTTTCTCCACAGAGGGCTGAGCAAAGAGAAACTGAGATGCCACGTTCCAATACTGGCCTAACCACGTGGCAAGTTAGGCAAGAATCACCACAGCTGAAGTCGACAACGTCCTTTGCTTGACCAGCTGGCAGTCACAAGACCAACGCAAAGTTAGAGATAACCCAACATTATGTCCCACTTACGTAGGTAAGTTTGCAGACTGCGTTTGCCTTCACTGCGATATTGTCCTGCTTTAGCTCCTGCTTGATTTCATCGATGCACTGGGAGATGTATTTTGCCTGAGGGAAATAAAGAAAGTTACTTTCATGCTCATTTGCCACAGAACATTCAGCTTTGTGGGCTTCAAGCCTGTTAACTCCAAGAGCAGAAAGCTAAACGCATCATCTGCAAGTCCCAAGTTTCCCACATGCACATTATCTAGGTAGGCACTTCATTTTGATGGGAACTCTCATTAACAAGGAACTGTTAAAATGCTTTATTCCAAAACCTAAAATCCCCAGAAATGTCTCTGCAGGGCATTTCCTTCCCCGCATTACACTGGTCAGTCCAGAGCTCTTGTTTCAAAGACCTGTGAATAAGAGCTGCCCAAGGAACATTGTGTTTCACTGCTCTTAGAGCATATCTTAGATTTAAGGTGACTGATGAAAACAGAAATTATCCCTCGTTTGGGGTATATTGGGAAATTCCTCATTTGGGAAACTCTTTTCGCTGGAACTCGTTAACTATTTCCATTGAGCCAAAAAATGATGAAGTGAAGGCACGGCCCTGGTTTGTGTTTTAGATAAAGGATTTGGCCACTTGAGCATTTGGATAAGGAACACCTGTTTATTTGTAGGATGCTCCCACTTGGTGGGATTCAAACGTCAATGTTTGCGCTTCAATATTTGGCCCTTTGTTTCTTTTCCAACCATCGTGTCTGTGCTTGTGGGAGGGATATGGCAAACCTGATCTAAAAATGCGTGCAGATTTTTGCTTTAGGAATAGGCTTAATTCAGTCAGAGACTCTTTCAGCTCACGATTAACTATGGTTAAAACACTAAAGGTATCTGCAAGAGATATCATAAAAGATTTAAAGGCAGAGAAATAATCTCTCCTTAGAAAGCCACATATGCACTGGGGTATTTATCACTCAGTAAAAATCAACTGTCCCAAGAACCAGGTCAGAAGCAGTTCACCTAATGCAAAGGAGAATCCTGCACAAATAGCATTACTTTCCACCAAAGTATTTTTCAACGCAGAAGTTCAACTATTGACATTTCTCCTCTTTATACAAAAATCTGTGCATGATTCCCCACTGTTCTTTGGCCATTTACACTGTCCTTACACTTCTAGCTATGAGATTCAGCAGCTTAAAGTGAAAGATGCTATTCTTAATAAATAGATGAGAAGAAAAATATGTTATACAAGGTGTGGAGTGCAACGAAACTCCTGTGACCGAAGCAAAGGAAAGCTGCAAGTGAATTTTAATGCAGGGTCCTTACGCTCTGAGCAACACTCACCTAATGACAACTTAGCCTGCTGCAATTTGGAATCTAGCAACCCCAAAATTAGAACCCACCACCAAGAGGCAAGGTGAATAAATGCTATTCAGAGCAGAAACAGCCTCCTTGGGGTAGCCGCTCTGAAGCGGATAGAATAATTGGACTTTTTTCCTCTTGAATCTTGAGGTTAGAGAGACAAAGCTGATTCCTCCTGGTACGACCAGTATCCGTTCCTGAGACACTCGGGCTTTGTTGAACCCCACTGAGCTCTTGCTTGGCCCCTTCCTGCAGCCCCTCAAAGGGATCTTCAACCAGCAGCCCGCTCTCAGGCAGCTCAACTCAGAAGGTACCCCAAGACCAGAAAACTAGCCAAGGAATTTACTCTAAGAAATGTAACATAACCCCAAACACCCATACTTGGAAAGAAATACCACCTCTGTGGCAGCATTTCTCAGCTCTGTGGATGAACCAAGCACCAAACAACTCCTGTCACCACAGAGCGCCTCGGCTGTGCTCCTGGAGCCAGGGAAGTGAGCATCTCCAACGGGAGCGGAGAGGGCTGCTCTCCAGCGGGCAACCAGCCCAAGTTGCAGGGATTTGGGATTTTAGACCCTTCATAGCCTGAAGGGAAGTCGGGTCCAAACAGCTTCCATAGAAAGCTTCAACTCCAGCGTCCAAAGTCAAAGCCTTTAGCAGTAGGCAAAACGTATGTGAACAGGGAGGCTGAAAAAAACAATTACACAGCACGCAACCGATCTAGAAATGCATTGTACCTACCCTTGAATATTTTATGCACAGGGCAGCACGCTGGAACAGTGTCACTGGATCCTTCCCAAGCGTATCTGGTTGCCACATCTTGGCCAGCAATACCAGTGCCAGCTTTCAAAGCCAGGCTCAAGGCAGGTCCTCGTTCTTTATGCCCACGTACAGAAGGCGTTACCGGCATTTCTCAAAAATCGATCCGCAAACTCCTCAAACATCAGCTGAACCTTCCCGCTTGTCTCTCAGGTTGCCGTTCAAAACCGCAGCCCCTGCAGCCTGCCGGCAAATCCTGCACTATGAATCAGCCTAACTGAACGACCAACTTCCTTACAAGAGGGTGAGAGAGCAAAAACAGATCCAATAAGCTTAAAAAGGAGGTTTTTGGAAAGCACAGGAAGTCTTTCCTGAATATCTGCACATCGACTTTTAGAAGACTACAGAGAACAAAAGAGACTATAGATAGCAAGCTTTAGAGGATCAGGGGGTATTAGCAATTTGATAATCTCTGTGGAGTACCACTGGTGTGAATAGGTGATACGAACAAAACGGATCTATTTTCAGTCATGCATTATTATCCAAAACCCAACAATCACCTCAGCCACATCTGCTACCACAGTGAGTGTCTAAATAAACAGGAAGGAAGCAAGTACTCAGACGTGCTCCTCTAGATCAGTCCTTGCTAACCCAAGCGCTGCCCTTTGCAGAATCCCAGGCGCTGGGTTTTACTAAGTGTTTTTGCACTGATACCCCCAAACTCTCCGTGAGAGCCTCAAAGGTGCTCGGCTCAGGCTGCACAACTAGACTACAATTTAGAATAAGCACTTAATGCAATGAGGATTTTTAAAAAGGTATCTGTCAGCACAGTAGACACAGAACAGGGCCTAGATATTTGCAGGAGAGAAACATTATATACTAACACAGGGCAAAATCTGGATACTTGTGCCAGCATCGATTCAATGACAGCCCATGTCACTGAGCTCCTGTACAGTAAGTTTGTAGCGCGGTAAGAAAAAAAGTGTTTCCAAGGCTGTAAAATCCTTTTTTTTTTCCCCTAAAATATCTTACGCAACCCAAGGAGGAAGGACAGGAATGGAAAGAAAAAGGAATGCAAAAAGAAAATATTTCAGGTTTGTTTATTCTCCCAGTATTGTGTACAATATTTGCATACTTTGCAACTGTCATGTTTGTTGCTGACTCTGTCTTACTTGAAGCCCTCCCAAGAGGGTCACTTTTGGCCAAGGAACCAAGGGAAACACTAGAGTCAATAAGAATCTGTTCAAAACGTCCACAGCGCCTTTAACAAAGGCTGCAATTTTTCAGGAGGTCCAAGACTGCACCCAGAAAATGTGTGTTTAAGCTCATGTGAACAGCTAAAGTGAGGGTGAAGGTATCAAGAAGGAAATAAGATATAAGCCCATTGAAACTAAGAGCTGAGAGAAAACAGGGTCATGGTAAGAAGCCAGAACTTCAATTTATAAGGTTTTTCACTCGCCAGCTTTCCAGCTTCCAACAAGTCATTTTTGGGGAATTAACTTTGAAAAGTACCAAAACTTTACACCAGCCTCCAGAGAACTTGGGCTTCACGATTTCAGAGAGGGTCACACAGGACTGAGATGCTGTTTGTCAAGTATCAGAGGAACCCATTTGCAAAAAATACCCCAAACCACTAATACACCTGAACAGCTCCATTCTCAGGAAATGCAAGCCTTTATCTGCATCAAAGCTTGATATTTCACAAGTTAAACAGCAAAACTCCAGAGAGCACCAGTCCCTACTTGTTTTGCTCTTTCAAGGTTAAATGCACTTCAAGGTGATTGCTACCAGTGAATACCATGAGGCATAAGGTACAATCTAAAATAAATGTGTAATTCTCATTGTAAGCAAACAGAGAACCTGAGGACTGGCAGAAAGGCAACATCACTCCAGTCTTCAAAAGGGGCAAGAGGGAAACTACAGGCAGGCCAGCCTCAACTCTGTCCCTGGAAAGGTGGTGGAGGAGCTCATCCTTGGGAGCATCTCTAGGCATGTCAAGGAGAAGGAGATGATCAGGAGTCAGCGGGGATTCACCAAGGGGAAGTCATGTCTGACGACCCTGATAGCCACCTATGATGGGATGACTGGCCGGTTGGATGAGGAGAGAACCGTGGATGTGTCTACCTTGACTTCAGCAAGGCTTTTGACACCGTCTCCCATAATATCCTCATGGGGAAGATCTGGGAGCGTGGACTGGATGGGTGGATGGTGAGGTGGATCGAGAACTGGCTGGATGGCAGAGCTCAAGGGGGTGATAAATGGGGCCGAGTCCAGTTGGAGGCCTGTGGCCAGTGGTGTCCCCCAGGGTCAGTACTGGGCCCGGTGCCACTCAACCTGTTCATCAATGACCTGGACGAGGCCATAGAGTGCACCCTGAGCAAGTCTGAGAACACCACCAAGCTGGGTGGAGTGGCCAACACTCCAGAGGGCTGCGCTGCCATCCAGAGGGACCTGGACAGGCTGGACAGTTGGGCAGAGAGCAACTTCATGAGGTTCAACAAGGACAAGGGCAGGGTCCTGCACCTGGGCAGGAATAACCCCAGGCATCAGCACAGATTAGAGGTTGACCTGCTTGAAAGCAACTCCACAGAGAGGAACCCAGGAGCCCTGGTTGGTAACAAGCTAACCATGAACTAGCAGTGCCCTCGTGGCCAAGGAGGCCGATGGGCTCCTGGCTGCATCAGGAGGATGGTGCCAGCAGGGCGGGGAGGGGATCCTGCCCCTCTGCTCAGCTCTGGGAAGGCCAGACCTGGAGCACTGGGAACAGCTCTGTACTCCCCAGGACAAGAGGGATGTGGAGCTTCTAGAGAGGGGCCAGCAGAGAGCGACAAAGATGATGAAGGGACTGGAGCATCTTCCAGGCTGCGGAGTCTCCTTCTCTGGAGATCTTCCAAACCCACCTGGTTGCGATCGGGTGCCCTGTGCTCTGGGTTTCCCTGCTGGAGCAGGGGATTGGACGAGTTGTTCTCCAGGGTGCCTTCCACCCTCAGCCACTCTGTGAT